CCTCTCCAATCAGCTTTGCGCACACACTTCCACGTCATGACTTGTTAGCCCAGACAGCCCACCTCTTCGCTCTAGAAATGCTCTTTCCCAAATCTTCCAGGAAGTTTGGAGTTTTCCAATTGGAAAGTAGTTACACATTTTCTGGGTTTCTCTCCATCTTTCTCAAGGTCTCCTATCATATGTGGTTTCTTTGTTGGCAAAAATTGTTGCATGAAAAATGCATTATTGCCTCTCCTTCACCCGACTATAGTTCTGTTTTAATGCATCACAATTTGTCAGCAGAAATGCTCCTTAGAAGTAAGATGGCGAGAATTCTCCTTGCTTACTTTGGGTGCATCGTTCAGAATGACCAATTGCTAGAAAAAGACATTCTATTTGGCAGGGGCAGCAAACAGAAGGAAATCCTCTGTGATGAATGAGCTACTGTTTCCACTTGGCTGGACCAGAATTCTCAGTGGTTTGGCAGTTATGATGTAGTTTGAGAATTATGTACTGGCTGCTATCATCATGCCCAGTGATGAGGTCAGATAGAATCGCTGCTGTAGTGGGAGCTGCTAGGGACTTCAGTTAAAAGAGAATTTCCTTCGGGATGGGTATAACAAAGCTCTCTGGCTTCTTTCTTGATTTGGATCCCGCATCTAGCTCTTCATAATTTTGGATTTCTTTTTGGACTGAAACCACTGGTCTGCCATATTGCCTGCCACTCTTAAAATTTGTTAGCCTTCATAGCCTGTGAGCCATCAGCCTGCCATTGGCCATGCTGACTTTAAATGTGTCGTCTTCTGCAGCTACTTGAGTCAGGAGAAGCATGGTATCTGGCCCACAGACTTGGGACTTGCCAGCATTTATGTCTGAGTCATTTCCTTAAGATCAATCTCTCTCTCTCTATATATATACACACACACACACACACACACACACACACACACACACACACACAGAGTCAGTGGTTTTGTTTCTCTAGAAACTCAGCTTAAATCACCCTCTATGAGATGGATTAAGACAATAGCCTTAACAATGGGTTCAAACACCGAAGATCATGGAGATTTGCCTTGAGTTGACGCTGACCCAATAGCAGCTAAAGCAGCAACATCACGCGTTTTATCCCTCAGCCTGGTCTGTGTGCAGTACTAAAGCTCAGCCCTGACTGTCTCCCAGGCAGACAGGCACAGCGCTCATGCTGTCCCCAATGCCACTCTTCTCTACCTCCTTTCCTGGGTCTTCCCTGGAGCTGTCCATCACCATTCCTGGTGACTTCCTTGACAATTCTGTCTTGTTTTCAACTTCCATGTTTCCACCTATGACTTTCTAGCCTGTCATCTCACTGCTGAATTCTCTGCTGCAGGAGAGCAGGCAGACCCTTCTGTTCCCACCTGGTGAAGAGTTACCCGGGGCCATCTCAGAACTAAACTCAAGTTCAGTTCTAAACTCACTGCCAACGCATGGAATCAGACTCATGACGACCTCCTAGGACAGAGGACTTTCTGAGGCTGTAAATCCTTATGGGAGCACAAACTGTGTCTTTCCCCTGTGGAGTGGCTGGTGGTTTCAAACTGCTGACCTCGAGATTAGCAGTCCACCATATACCCCACTATGTCACCCAGGGTTCTTTAAACCCAAATCTACCATGTCTCCCTCTAATTAAAACCATCACTTTCCTGGGCCTTCCAGGGAGAGATTTCACTTTCAGATCTTCCATCCCTTGAAGGATAACCACTCCCTGTGCATTTCAACGCTGCCTCCTACAGAGAGCTTCCATCCTCTGCATCCCATGCCCATCTCACAGGGCTGGGTTTAGGCCATAAGTGCTCAGAGCTAGGAAGACCGTACGCATCCTGACTGGCCTGCCTCCTTTCTCTGCCTTGGATCCCAATCCTCCTTACCCTTTTGTCAGAGGACTCTTCACGAAAGAACGATCCACTCCAAATCCCTGGATGACAAAGTCTACAGGTGGGATACAGCCCAACATCCTCAACTTGGGAACTCCTAGAGAGACCTTCAAGGCCTTCTTGACTTTGCTCCATCTACCAGCACGTCATCTACCGTCACCCTCCCACCATTCACTATGCTCCAGCCGCCCCCCTCCCAGAACTCTGTTTCCATACCATGAACCCAAGAGGCTTATTCTTGTCCTAAGCCCTGGCATGCACTGTCTTCAAAACTTCACATGACCTCATATGTCACTTGTCATTCCCCTCAAACATCACTTCCTCTGACCATCTAATGACAGCCCTGCTCCCCAGTTCCGTCAGACTCACATTCACCCTGTTGCTTGTACTCTATTACTCTGCTCATCCTAGGGCAGCATCTTCTCATTTACACATCTCCTTGCTTAGTGCCTAGATCCTCAGACTCACAGGTAACTAATTCCTCTCTCATCACTGATCCCCGCACCTGGAACAGGGCCTGGCACACCATAAGGTAAAGTCACATTCCTTAGCAATGTGACCCCTATTTCCACATCACCATATTCTGTTGGTATTTCTCATCTAGCATTTATCATATTACTTCTTTTATTCAAATGGCTATTTCCAAAGGAACTGAAAGAAAGGCATATCAAATGCCAGAAGTACATGGTTATAAAATTCAAGTCTTGTAGTATAGAGGATTTGTGCATCATTTGCTAAAGTTATCCCAATGATTTCATTTTTAATGCTACCAAGAGAAGTATTCTTTGAATTTCATATGACTAAAACTCATGTATGAATCCTTATCTTCTTATGCATTTTGCTTTTAGAATTGTTATGAAACAGATATCAAGCAATCCCCTGGAAGTCATTAACATATTGCAGTTAGGTGTCATTCAGACAATGCCAATTAATAGTGTCCTTATGTATAACAGAATGAAGTGTTGTCCGACCAGCCTAAGCCATCCTCACCACCACTGTATGGTGAAGCCTACTATTGGAGCCATTATGCAATTGACTTCATTAAAGATCTCCTTTTATGCTGATTTGTTTTGTCAACCATGATGTCCTTCTCTAACAATTGGTGTCTCCTGAAGATCACACACACACACACACACACACACACACACACGAAGGAGTTTCCAAAAGTTCATGAAAAAATGAAATTGAAAGATAATAGAATTTCCCCACAAACATTTTGAAGTCGCCACATGTACCATACATAGTACAAAAGTATTGTCATAAAATCATAGAAACCCTTGATTTCTTGACATATGCTACATCCAGGCCTAAACATTTCTGAAGAACATGTTTCTAGCCATTTCCCAAGGAGGTCTGTGCTCTTTGATTTACACTCTACTGAAGTGGCATCCTCAAGGGATGGGAAAGTCAGGGATGTGCATTGGGTAAAGTTTCTCAATGAAATGCTTTCTATTATGCCCTTGCTGCCCTGGAGTGAAATTCCTTAATGTGGTTCTTCTACCCAAGGCTCTGCAACTCCCACCAAAGGATTAGAAGAGATTATGCAAATAGGGTGTGTGTAACACTAATCGAGGGTATTGGTCAGTTTTCATTACCACCCCCATGGCTGTCAGGATGAGTTGTCTTTGACCCAGGAGGGAGAGAGAGAAAGTCCAGGCTCATCAGGAGAGCATATTCCAAACCTCTCTCGATCTAGTGGTGGAGGTCAAGATCAGAGGCATCAGAGACTAGGCACAGAGATTACAGGATGGATCAAGTGGAGCAGCACCAAGATGATAAGACTGTGAGACAGACAACAAGCTGGCTTCTTGGATCACAGAGACAGGACACAAGAGCCCAGCATAGAAACAGTGCCATAGGAGGAATGGTTGGTGTCAGAATAGGGAGACAAGTAAGGAGTGTGGAGGCATGTCTGACCCCTGCCTCTTGGCAATAGAGAAGCCATAGGATGTCAGATATGGCCACCCAACTTCTGGTGTGACAGTAACACTTGGAGAAAGAATAAGTGCACCACTGCGATGGGAAAATAATCCTTGATGTAACTTTCCTGATCCTTTTCTAAGCAATGAAGTTTTCAATTTTCTTAAAAGTTCTTCCAAACTTTCAGGTCATCCTAAAAGTCATCCCAAAGCCTCTGGTCATCCTATCTCCTCCTAGAAAATTGATCAAGATTACCCTCATGGAGAGCCTGAAATAGCCACCCTAGCCTTCTGATCTGACCTCTCTGCCCTGAATTCAACTGGCCTAGAGACCTAAGAGACCGGCGCTTTGATAGGATATTCTCTTTGAAGGCACCCTCGGGAGACTAAAGCGAGTGCATTACTGGGAGAACGTGCCTGCAGCCACCCCTTGCTCGCAGAGACACATTCAAATGCATTTCATTTGGAACAAGCCCATGCGTATATGAACTGGAATCCTAGCAACACTTTTTGACTGACTCCCATATCTACATATATAGGGAAATAATTTTATATTACTATTGTATCTAGTGACCTCAGTGAATTAACAATTTGATTTTAAGTACATTTTTATAAATTTTATAGATGTTTCTACGGACTCAGTGCTCCACAAAGGCAGTTTTATTCCTTTGGGAAAATGCACCTTCAACTTCATTGTTATTTTTAACCACAAGTGAATGAAAGTAAAACATCAAAAAGACCATAGGTGTTACAGCGACACAGGATATGAATCATGATCGCATTCTAGGGGCCATACGATGAAATAGCTGGAAAACACTACCTTATAGCAATTTGCTATGGCCCCTGCTACAGTTTACTTCCTGGAGAGCAATACCATGTTGCTAATAAAATCAAACCTAAAAAAATGCGTTTCCCATATTAGATATTCAATACAGGTTTGTCAGATAGTGCTGCGTGCAGTGCCTGCTTGGCAAATACTTGTTGATCCACTCAAAGATCTATAAGATCAAGGCTAAGAACCAATGAACAAAGCAGATGTTGTTGCTTGACTTGTGTATATTCCTCCCTGCTGAGAATCGATAACAAGAGGCACAAAGGCTGGTAAGGCGCCCTTCTCCTTGTCTACCTAGAAACACTTGATTTGTCAAAGAACGACACAACAAAGCCATCAGGAAAGCACTGAAGTGGCTACCTGTGCATTTCTTTATATGGCTGTTCCTTTTTCCATGCGATCCTAACTTGCATCCAAAATTCTCCTCCCAAAATTCCGCGAACCACACATTTCTTCGATTATTGGCAAGGGTGCGGCTTCTAAAGTATCGATCAAATCCTGCAGGGAAGAAGAAAAGTAACATTTTAACAACCTCTCAAGATCAAAACCCATGGCAGAGTCATGGAATGTACATCCTGCTGGGTCATGACCACTTCATGAAATAAATAACCAAAAAGCATATACTAAATGGGAGAGGGGCCACAGTCCAGAAATAAAGCCACTCGTACGAGTTCCCTTGTGGCACAAGCCAAGGCAGCTCCAGAAGGACTGTGTAGCAGCAGAGCCATTTGTAGATGGCATCTCAACACTTGCCCCTTTCTCCTCCATCTCCTGCAGCACTGACCAATGATCTTATCCTGGATCCGAAATATCATGAGCCCAGATGAGATTTTTCCCAGTTCTGCTCTCTCTCTCTCTCTTAATGTGAATCAAAGTTCCTGGTTTTTGTGGGCTTCTACCCACCTCAAAATGTATCTGTCCTATATTCTCCCTTCTCAGTTAATTTAATATACTCATCAGTGATCATGTAATCTTGAACCTCGGAGGGTCCTGGGCTGAATTGTTAGCCTGCCTCTAGAACAACCTCAATGACAGGAGACCTCCTAGAGATAAGGCCTCACTATAAAGCAGTGGTTCTCAACCTTCCTCATGCCGCGACCCTTTAATACAGTTCCTCATGTTGTGTTGACCCCCCAACCATAACATTATTTTCGTTGCTACTTCATAACTCATTTTGCTACTATTATGAATCATCATGTAAATAACTGATATGCAGGATGTATTTTCATTGTTACAAATTGAACATAATTAAAGCATAGCAATGAATCACAAAAACAATATGTAATTATATATTGTGAAATATTTATTTCGAATGACAAACACATGAAATTTTGTCTTGAAGCATGGTATATAGCATGGGTAACAGTCTTCCCACCGGGTACTTGTATGTGAGCATATCTGCATGTGGGCAGACCTGCCTATAGACGGATGGAGGAACGGTGTCTCCTCCTAATGCCATCAGAAATATGTGTTTTCCGATGGGATGGTTGTAGGTGATCCCTGTGAAAGGGTCGTTCTACCCCCAAAGGGTTGCAACCCACAGGTTGAGAGCCGCTGCTCTAAAGGAAGAATAGGAAACTCCAGGCACCAGCAAGACCCCTGGAGAAGGGACGCAGGAGGCACCTGCCTTTGCCAGGATGCAGCAATTCCTCCTGCGGTATATTCCATGCATCCGGAGAGCAGTCAAACATTCTGCCTTCACTTGTATCAATCAAGCTTTCTTTTTTTTTTGCCCCAAAGACATGATCGTCAGACAGGCTCATGAACATATGGCCACCTGGGATGCAATTGGTAACATCACCAAAATATCCAAGACTAACTGTTCTCTTTCTTAAAACAATAAAGCGAATGGGGTTTTTCCTAAAACAATAAAGAAATAAATAAAATTTACAGGCTGGATTACATCGTCACTGTCCTGATCGTTTTGCCATCAGAACGAAACGTCTAACCAGTGTCACCTGCCTTGGGTGCAACCCATCATATTTGGATACCCTGGTTTTGACTGAGGTAGTTCTTCTGATGCTTCCTTACCATCAATGGATGCTCTTTTAGGCAAAATTGTCACAGCCCCTTCTGCAATCGCCTCCTGCTGGTAGACGGGTGCAATTTTGGATCCCCAACTGTCTGAGCCGATCCAGAGAAAATGCCCACTTTGGTTTAATTTTTTTGCTGCTTCCAATATCCTCCTATAGGAATAAAAAAGAAACAAAATGCATGATGCATGTATCAAGGACACCATAATTTCAAACTTTTCAAGCAAGTTATATACAGTAGTTTACTGCTAACACATTAGCCAAACATTCTAACTACCCGAGTCTTAGATCCTCCAGGAACTCTACAGGAGATTTTAGCTCCAGCAAATGTCAATGAGCCACATCCTTAACTACCTTCACATCACCCAGCCTATCACCCTTAGTTCGCACATCTCTTTCAATGCCTGGGTTTACTCGACAGGCATTTCGGACCGAGACACTAGAGAGCTGTAGTGTCCGGGGGCTGCAGAAGGCAGTCTGTCGTTGAAGGAGAATTTTCCAATGTTTGTGAAATCACCCAAGGTTTTACATTAAACCTGAAAAATGTCAGGATTCAGGCCACAAATCAGATCAGAAGAAAGAAAATTAATCAGCACCTGATGTCATCCTCATTGGCAAACATAATCACTGCCCGAGCATTAGGTGTTTCTAGCAGGCGTTTGATGATTTTTTCAAATTCTCCAGGTCTCGGTTCACGTGGGATCTTCTGCGACTGAGCAATACAAACACCACCTATTGAAAACAGAGTGACAGACAACAAAAATAAGTGATTCAGAAATGGCCTTTATTTAATCAAAGAAGGCTAAATTCTTCTATACGAACACATGGTTTGGGACAGGATATTTCTGGAAACATCTGTTGTTCTCACCTATTAAAAATAAGTATGTCTATTTATATTATATCAAAGATGTGCAACAAGTAAATGACATCAATTACTTCATCATACAGTAAGCTGTTTGTTTCTTACAAATTTCAACACTATTTTTGTGGCCGTAGGTAAGAAAAGCAATGAGTGATGAGAAGCAAAGGATGGCTGTTTGGGTTTATTTAACAGAAGTTGTTCCCGGATTAATAAAATGAGTGGGTATGTCCTATCGGGGACATCACCTATGGAGTAATAAATTCTTTTGCTCCTTCTATTTCTCGGTTGATATTTTTGTTGTCAGCTCTGACTCACCGCAACCATGTACAACATCAGGAAATGTTCCCCGGTCCTGCGCATTTCCCTGAGTATCGATCGGTTCCAGTCCACAGTAGCCATCACTGTGGCTTTTGAGTGCTTTCAAACCAAGGGGGTGCATCAGCCAGCATGATGCTGCTAGTTGTCATCAAGGCTATTCCAGCTCACGGACGATATTACGGAGACACGGGATCTCTGTGAGCTGATGCATAAGCAAGTGCGATGTTGGCAATAGATTTCCATTTTATTCATGGGGCAGCTGCTAACCGGAGAGTTGCCAGTGCAAATCTACCCAGTAGCTCCTCAGCAGAACAACCTGGTGATCTATGTTCATAAGGATTACAGCCAAGAAAACCCGTGGAGCAGCTGAACTCTGTCACAAGAAGGTCTACGAATCAAACATGGATTGACATCGAACGCAGCATGGTTTGAGTAGGCGTTTGTCTATCAGCCAAGAAGTCAGTTATCATTTGTTCCATCGCTTCAGTAGGCAGAGACATGTTTACTCCCCCAAAATTGACAATGTGCTCAGTCACCCAGCCATTACCAGTGGCCATTGCATTTCAGCAATGAGACAGAGGCTGGGAATGCACAGTCTAACAACCCAGGAGTCACCAGCTTGTCTGGGAAACAAGAATCCCAATAAATTATCATCGAATCAGTGATAAATTTTAGAGTTAAGGTCTATAGGATGCAGTGGAAGCACAAAGAGGGGGGAGGTGGCTAAAGTTCCTGGAGAGTTCAGATTTTAAGGCCAACTATACATCTAGTGGGGACACAGTAGAAATGCTGCAGGGAGAGGCTAAGACTTGACATAACCTTGCTTGATCATGGCATGTGGGGGAGACTGGCAGAAAATGATTTTGGAAAGAAAGGCCAGGCCCAGCTTGAGAATGATTTTGTTAAACATGCCAAAGAACTTGGACTTCATCCTGAACACAATGGAAAGCCACCGAAAGTCCATAATCCAAATAACTGCACGATGGATTTGGTGCTATAGCACCCAACACTCTGGCAGTCCTACAAAGAAGAAACTTCCGGGAGCCAGTCAGTGGGTTGTGCTCAGACTGAATTTGTGCGGCAATAATAGATGGCAAACGAGGGCTATAATCCTAGAAGTTTATTTCCCCTATGTAAAAGCACTTTCAAAATTATCCCTGTAAAAAGGCACTCACGATGTGCACTTCCGGAGAAGGAATTGCCCATAACCCACAGATTGTTACCATTACTTGCAGTTAGTTTTACTGCTGTTGTTGTTTTGTTGTTCGTGAGGGCAGTGGATGCAACCTGAATAAAGTAAAAATGGTCTCTGCCTTCACGGAGTTTAGAAGTTCATATTGTGGGTGGACATTCAATAAAACAAAGCTACATTTATAATTACACACTGCAGCACCTACTGTGAGGAAGAACAGGGGCATTTCCTTTAGAATGAGCGGTATTCAGAAAAGACCTGCCATTGGGGTGAGGTATCAGGAAGAGTGGATGGGAGAGAATAGCAATGAGAAAGGCTTGGGAAGAGGCAGCAGAATTAATGCACGAGGAGAAGAGAATATGAAATGAAGATGAGAGTAGCCAGGGAATAGACAGTGTGTGGTTTTGTAGGACTTGTGGATGAATGTAACTAATTAAAGTACTTAACTTCCTCACTCAATATTTCCTCAACAGCTGAGTCACTCATAGACCTGGATCCACATATAAACTTTATATCTCTTGGGACAAAATAACACCTAAGAATGTCTGATATAGAGGGTAACCTGAAGTGGAAAAAACAGGACATAAAACAAATGTGCTTGACACAATCGATGGATGGATTGTGATAAGAGTTGTGTGAGCCCCAATGTGGTGAAGAAAGCTGATGGTGCCCAGCTATCAAAAGATATAGCATCTGGGGTCTTAAAAGCTTGAAGGTAAACAAGTGGCCATCTAGCTCAGA